AGGGGGCGTTGGTATCTCCCGGGGCTGCCCAGAATCTGCACTCTACTCACAACGATAGTGGAAGCAAAAGCAGGAGGCTGATCTCAGGTCTGTCCCTTGAAAACAGCCTGAGTGAAGGGGCTTTTTGGTGGGGGCAGGGCGGGGGCAGTGATGAGAGAGAATGCAGGCTGTAACTTTGGCATCCAGACCGATTCTGGTAGCAGGCCGACTGCCTGGGGAAACAGGTGCCTATTGTCTGGGTGAAGGGTGAATGGAAAGTCAATTGTTACTTCTCTGGGTGACACTGACACCGGCACCCTAGCTGGAGGCCCAGTAGCCTCTCTGATGTCTACTGAAACAGAGCATGTTTCACAGCATTATACTTTATATGTTCGTTAACTTATTTGTTTTCTGTCTACGTCCATGAGGACAGGGACTCTTGAAGAAAAGCAGGTACCCCCAGTTTCCATGTGATAAGCAATCTGGCAAAGTCCTCTTACATCCTCTCAATCCCATGAGCACCCTGGGATTCCAGGAAAGGAAGTCAAAGTGGAAGGCCAGAGGGCCAGGCACAGAGGTGGCTCACGCTCTGGGGAAACACATGAGCAGGAGGTGATTCATAATTCTCATCTCACACAGTGAAATGGAGAGGAGGTTACATATCCTTTACTTCATTTAATTCTCACAAATGCCTTATATGGTAGATTATACTATTGCCATCTCTCAGATGAGGAAGCCCCAGCTCAGAGTTTAGATAACTAATGTTCATGGCCACACAGCTAATAGGTGGCAAAGTTACTTCTCTCCAAGGCCCAGTGTCTCTCCACCCTGCTATACACTCCCTCCAGGATGCTTGGCAGGCTGAGCATTAGAATAGGGTTCATGGCCATTGGTAGTTGTTATGGAAATGGGGTGGGATGGCGAAGGAGTGTTTCAAGTGGCTATGGGCTCCTGTTAAGACACCAGGAGCCCTTCAATGGGAAAGGAGACTTAGGTCAGATCCTGCTTCACACTCAGATAGCCACCTTGCTCTAGAAACACTGCTACTCAGAAGATTATAGAAGAGCTGACCAAAGGCTCCAGGCCCAAAGGCAAGTCCATTCAAGTGGAGAGAGACTCCTGTGACAAGGGGATCACTAACCAAGGGCCTAGCTTGGAGCACCTGTGAACTCACAAGGGTGACAGCACACCTAGTGCGTCTTCAGATAGAAAGCACCTGGTGCTGCATCTGACACGCAGTAGGTACTCAATCTCAGATTACTATTATTATAATAAAGACTTAATTTCCTTATGCAGAAATTGAATTGGAAGTTGGATTTCCTTCTGAGCTGAGACCTGGAGAGCTCTCCAGGGCCAAGACTGTGGGAACCAGATAAAATTCTTCCCTAATGGGGGTTCTGTGGAAGCTCAGCAAGTAGTTCTATCAAATTAGCAGGCCCAACAGACACAAGGGAGTGAATTTCTTCCTGAGCTTGGGCCCTGCCATTTCTCGTCCCTTGAAAATCAGATTAAGAGGAGGGCAGGGCCAGGGAGGAAACTGGACTAACACAATTACCAGCCCCGGCTTGTCCTTCTCGGCTTGGGGATAGGACAGGGAGGAGGGGAAGGCAGAGGGGAGTCGGAAGTTCTCTCAGGAAGTTATGAATCCAAGAAAGTAGATCAGATGACCCCATCCCTGTCTCCACCATCCCATCCTGGGATTAGTTGTCTCATCTCCGTGTTGTTCCCACGGAGCATCAATAACAGAAGTCTCTGTCCTCCCTTGGAGATCAGTGTGGTAATTCCTTTTATAGCTATGATGCCATACAGCCTTGGCTTGAATCTCCTTAGTGATGGGTTTTTGTTACCTATTAAGGCCTCATATTCCATTATTGATTCAATAGCAGCCAGCTGTAACCAAGACCACTGATATCTGATCTTAGATTTGCCCCTAACTAGATGTAGAACCTTGGGGGGTCTTTGGCCCCAATTTCCTCATCTTAAATGAGATTGGTGACCCCGTGGTGGACACTGTGCTCGTGCTCTCAGTGTCCTTCCACCCTCTCCTGTTGTGAGGCAAGTTGTATTTTTCTAAGTGGACTCTAATTTACCAAAATGCATCAGCCCAACACCCTGACTCTTTCCATCATGACTCAGGAGTCATCATGGGATTTGCCCTGGCCATGGTGGTCCATGCAGAGCCACCCCTTGGGACTTTCCTTCAGTGACTGCAGGAAGCTGCTCTAGCCCTATCCCCAAGTGGGAACAAGACAGCATGTTGCTCTGATGATGATGGAGGAAAGCTAGCCTGAGACAAAGCAGACACACATGGAGGCAGAGCCATGAGAATTGCAGGGAGAAAGACAGAGCCCTGATAAATCGTAAGGCCACCCTACCACAGAATTTCTCAGTTATGTCGGGAGCCTATAAATCACCATCATGGTTTGTGCAGTTTGAGCTGCATTTTCTGTCACTTGCCAGTACTAATCTCCAAAAGAGCAGAGACTTTTTCTAGCCTTAAAAGTGCTGAAATTCCTGATAGGAAATCGGCTTCTTTGTCATTTCCATTCAAGGAATATAGTCCTATCACTGAACATACCTGCTGTTTCCATAGGAAGGGAGATTGAGAATCTGCTGGAGGCGTCCCCTCATCTCCCACCTCGGTCAGCAAGCTAGGAAGGATAGGAATCTTTCTAGGCCACACAGCAGAAACCCATCCACAGAAAATGATGTAGGGGAGGAAAAGCAGGAGAGGAAGTGCCTATAACTCAGCTGAGTTACTGAGCTACTGCGTTCCCTTTTTCTGCTGCTGCCAGTTTAAGTTAGGTTTCTATTGCTTGCACCCAAGATATCTGACTGAAAACCATTCCATCCACCTTTGTTACCCAGCAGTCCACACTGTGTCTGGCACATAATAGATTCTCAATTAAGATTATGACTTTACTTCCCATGACCTGGACTCTTCTACCAGTTTTGCCAAATTCAAGATTGTGTTAGTATTTTTAGTTGTCTCTTTGGAGGAGCATGTTAAGTTTTGGAGGAGGCAGATGCAGCAAACATGTACCAAGTACTTTCAATGTGTTAGGTACAGGGCTAGGTGTTTTCACGTAAATCACTTCATTTACTATCCCAAACTGCTCTTGTTAATTTTATGCCCACTTCCCAGAGAGAGAAACTGAGACTCAGAGAAGTAGCATTTTAAAGTCACGCAGGTAATACTGGCAAAACCAAGAAGGAAAGACACGTCTTCTTAGAGTCACACCGTTGAGTGATGATAAACTCATGGTTAGTTAACAGAACGCGAAAGGCCCTGAATGTCCCTTCCAACTTCCATTGTGAGAAAACCCTCCGTGGCAGTCCGGCAGGGAGCCACTTCAGGCACTGGAGGAAGTGGTCTGCATGTAATCCATCAGCCCTGCCCTGGAGTCAGCTGAGTCAGTTCCTGGGAGCCTTTGGCCAGTACTGGGTTTTCAAGCAGGAAGGGCCAGAGACAAGTGCAAGGGCAATGGCCCATGGGCAGGGTTAAGGTAGGTGACCCTCACTCAGTTCCCATATGAAACCAGAAGCACAAAGCGGAAGGACCAGAGGACAACCACATGGGTATATACTCCCCCTTATTTCTTTTTCAACGTTTTTATTGAGATATAAGTTATATACCATAGAACTCACCCATTTAAAGTGTACAACGAAGGTTTTTAGTATATTTACTGAGTTGTGCAACCATTACTACAATCTAAGTTTAGAACACTTTCATCTACCCTAAAAGAATCCCTATACCCATTAGCAGTCACTTCACACTTAGCCCCAACCTCCCCTCCCTTCAGCCCTAGGCGACATTAATCTTTCTGTTTCTTTAGATTTGCCTACTTTAGACGTTTTGTATAAATAGAATCACACAATATGTGGTCCTTTGTGACTGGCTTCTTTCACTTAGCATAATGTTTTCAAAGGTCATTTGTGTGGTATCATGAATCAGGACTT